TAAGTCACTGATCATCCCAGTCTTCAAGAAAGGCGAGAAGTCCTCTTGTGATAACCACAGAGGAATCAGCCTGACAAACATAGTGTCTAAGATCCTAAGTTCTATAATTCTCCGACGCCTGAGTGGAGCTCGGGAACAGCAAGCCCGAGAAAACCAGGCAGGCTTTAGACCTGGCCGTGGATGTATCGACCAAATATTCACACTGCGCCAGGTCCTGGAACATAGGCATGCTTACAGACGCCCGACAATAGCTGTATTTCTCGACCTGAAGGCGGCATTTGACTCCGTTGATCGAGAAGTCTTATGGCAGTGTCTGTCACTGAAAGGCGTGCCTAGTAAGTACATCACCTTATTGAAAGCTCTCTACTCGAACACTTGTGGGCATGTTAGAGCCTATGGTGAGTTGTCCAGGGAGCTATACTCATCAAGTGGTGTCCGTCAAGGATGCCCACTATCCCCATTCTTATTTAATTTTATCATAGATATTCTTATGGAGGTTTCCCTCTCGTCACCTAATTACAAAGACGTTGACCGGATCACAGGTGAATTTTCCTTAGATCTAGAATATGCAGATGACATAGTCCTGTTAGGTGAAGACGCTGACAAGATGCAGAGTCTTCTGAACACTTTGAGTGGGAATTTGAGAATGTTTGGGATGCGATTTTCACCACCCAAATGCAAATTTTTGCTCCAGGACTGGTCTTCAGCGGTACCGCGGTTAACAATAGAGAGTGAAGTGGTTGAGTGTGTTGACCACTTCACTTACCTGGGAAGTAGGATCAACCCGGTGGGTTAGTTGCCGATGAGATTTCTGCACGGATACAAAAGGCTCGATTGGCTTTTGCCAATTTGCGCCACCTATGGCGCCGCCGTGATATTCGTTTGTCTATTAAGGGTCGCGTGTACTGCACAGCAGTCCGCTCTGTTCTACTGTATGGCTGTGAAACATGGCCATTGAAAGTGGAAGACACAAGAAGGTTACAGGTATTTGACCACCGTTGCCTTCGTAGTATAGGACGTATTCCGTGGTGTCACCATGTGAGTAATGCAGAAGTTAGGTGTAGAGTTTTAGGGAGAAGAGGTAAGTCAGTCGACGAGGTTGTGAACCTTCATCGACTGAGATGGTTGGGACACGTACTACGTATGCCTAGTCACCGATTGCCTCGTCACACAATGTTGGCTGAGGTGGGTTCAGGCTGGAAAAAGGCCCGAGGTGGCCAGACTAAAACATGGCACCAATGTATGAAGTCTCTGACTGTTGGTTTAAGCCATGTAGGACGATGCAGACTAGGTGGTTGGGGTCCACGGGACAAGAGGAACCAGTGGTTGGAGACCCTAGGTGATATGGCTCAGAACCGAAGTCAGTGGCGCAGATGTATACACACATTATCCTCATCTTAACAACGCTATACCGAATCTCACTATTTTGTCACTCCTCTTTCCTTTCTTCTCGTACTTTATATTTCTTTTGACTGCATTCACTTATCTTCATCCTTCACCTCACTACCTTTTTACTTGATGTGCTGATATGAGGTGTGGCAACTCGGACCGTTACGCAGTAATGCCTGGTCCTATGTTGATAATGATGATGAGTATGATGAATTGCAAAGCTCATGTTTCGAGTTCCTGGATATTTGACGGTCGGTTCTCACTATTTCGGAGGTTTAGGCGTAACTTTGAGAAGGCAGAAAGTTCTCTGGATACTAGTTGACAGTTGCCTATGTGCTGTCACGATGAACGGTCCAGTCAGGATGAAACGGAATAGTGAAACTCACCGTTATCTCTTTGTAATCTCTACTTACAAATCCACTGACTGCAGTTCGGATGAAGTGATGGACTAGTTCTATCGAAAACTATATAGCACTCAACTGAAAGTCAAGCGCTAAGTTGCGGTAGTTGTTGCAGGTGATTTCAATGTACAAGTGAGCACGCTAAGTCAGGTAGAAAACTACTTAGGTGACACTTTCGGAATTCCAGCCGAATGAACAGATAACAGCGATCGCCTACTACAATTTTGCTTAGATAACCTTTTATTTCTGGCTAGCATAAACTTCAGACGTAGAGAGAGACATTATCTGACGTAGTAACCTCTAAATCCTACTCAGCGGTGGACACAAAAGACCGCACTGCTACCAGTTATCGCTGCATAGGGACCAGTGGAAGGTTGCCGCTCCTTCTGGAGTACGTGTTTGGACAGCGACCATGCGATAGTTCGAGTGTGTGTCTGTCTGCGTCTCAATTGACGCGGGAAAACCAACAGCAATACAATTGAGTGTACCTTAGAGTACTGCTTTCAGTGAAAAACTGGTTTGACAATTATCATAACAGAGCAATATCACTCATAAAGAAGCTGGCTGGGGTCAACGAGACGACAGAAATCAACGGTTGAGAACCCTTGGTGACATGGCTGAAAATCAGTCACAACAGTCTAGATGCATGCACTTCTAAAACTTGAATACTCGCACTGATCGTTATTTTCAAGACTGTTTATTCTCTCATGAAATTTTGTCTACTTTGATATCATTTTCTAACGACCTGTTCTTCCGATACTACTGTGGCAACTTGAACCGGTTCACCTATGTGCAAGGCTTCCCGTTAAATTTTTCTGTCTCCGGAAGAAGCTTGGCGCCATCTCTAGTCTGCTGTAAAAACAGTGCTTCAGAGCGTAGCCGACTAATAGAGAGATTGAAAAGAGACACTGGATATCATCAGCTTCTTTTGAATTAATGGATGCATGCAAACATATCCCTGCCAACTCCAAGTACAAGGAACAAATGCAACTTGAACATAGAGTGACAAAAAGTCGAAACAACGACCGCGTACAGTGGTGGGGAAAGCTGAAGGGATGGAAAAGATAGCGGCGATAAGCAACAGTAGATAGCTATTTAAACTGATCAAGGAAACGAGAGAAAAAGTCAATGGTTAATAAGACGATATAGTAGAAGGATGAGTTTGCGGTTCACTCGCAGGGAAGGCGAGTGGGAACAACTCGACTGGCCTAAGGCTACTATTCTGTTGTCCGTTATCCAGTCGGAGGCTGGATGGAACACCGAGATAGGTTCCTCAACAATCACAGAAGTCCAGAAAACTGCAGGTAATCCGAAAACGGAGAAGAGCAGCAGGATCAGACGGACTAGTTCTAGAGGTATCTGAGGACGGTTGTCAGGGATCTTAATCCAAATTAACAAGTGTTAACCAGTGTGAGATACGATCCGTTCTGACCGGTCTCAATCACTGATTATTCTAGTCTTCAAGAAGGATGAGAAGTCCCCTTGTGATAACCACTGAGAAATCAGACTGATGAAAATTGTATCGAAGACTCTAGGTCCTGTAACCATCTGATGTCTGAGTGGAGCTCGGGAACAGAGAGCCCGGGAAAAACCTGGTGGGCTTCAGGCCTAGCCATGAGTGTATCAACCAGATATTCATACTCTGCCAGGTTATAGGACACACCCGACAATTGCTGTACTTCTCGACGTGACGGCGGCGTCCGACTCCGCCGATCAAGAGATCTTATGGCAGTGTCTCTCGCCGAAAGGAGTACCGAATAAGTGCATCACCTTACTGAAGGCTCTCTACTCGAACACTTGTGGGCGTGTTTGAGCCTATGGTGAATTGTCAGGAAGCCTGTATACATTGTGTGGTGTCCATCAGGGATGCTCACTCTCTTAGTTCTTATTCAATTATCATAGATGTACTTATGGAAGTCTCGCTCACGTCATCTGATATCACATAGATTCACCTAATCACAGAATCCTTGGTAGATCTAGAAGATGCATGAGTTGTGTTAGATGAGAACGCTGACAAGATGCAGTGTCTTCTGGACACCTTGAGTGGCAATTTGGGAATGTTTGGAATCAGTTTCTCACCATCCAAATGCAAACTGTTGCTCCACAACTGGTCTTCAACGGTACCCCAACTAACAATAGGGAGTAAAATGGTTGAACGCGTTGAACACTTCCCTTAAATGAGAAGTCGGATCAGCCTTGGTTACTCAGTACCCGACGAAATCTCCGCACGGATACAAAAGGCTTGGTTGGTTTTTGCCACCTTACATCATCTGTGGCGCTGCCCAGTATCCGATTACCCACTGAGGGTTCAGTGTACTGAGCTGCAGTCGCTTTTTCTCTTATTCTATGGCTGTGAAACATGATTATTGAAGGTAGAGGGCAACAGAATGCTTCTGGTGTTTGGTCACTGTTACCTTCGTAGCATAGGCCGTGTGTAGTGGTGTCACCACATGAGTAACACGGAAGTTAGGAGTAGAGATAGAGGGCGGAGTGGAAAGTCACTTTACAAGGTTATGAGTCTTCACCGACTGAGATGGACGGGACATGTGCATGCCCAGTCAGTTTTTCTCGTTACGCAATGTTAGCTGAAGTAGGTTCAGGCTGGAAGAAAGCTGGGAGTGTGACCAGAAAAAAACATGACATCACATCATAAAGTTTTTGACTTTTAGTATGACTTTGATATGCTGGGAGATCCTGACTAGCCGTACATGCGATAACAGAAACCAATGGTTGGAGACTATAGGTGATATGATTAAGAATCGATGTCAGTGTATCCACATCTTATATTTACCTCATCCGCTTTTTTGATATTAGCAATTTCTCAATCTTCCTTCCTCTAATTTATTGCTTTCTACTGCTTTCGACCAATTTTTCTTTTTTTCTTCATCTGTCACCTTACCACTTTGTTACTTGCTGTGCTGATATAAGGTGTAGCAACTTGAATCGTTGTGCAGTAATGCCTGGTCCTATGCTGATATTGATCGACTGCACAAGCAGAACTGTTTATCGAAGCGTAACACACGTCATTTAAGACTTAACCATAGAGTATGCTGAAACACTAGTGCTATCATAACCGTTTTTATATGAAGCTACAAAAGCTACTCAGTCATGTGAATCAACATTTCTAACTTTCGAGATGTGATTTTCAAGGGACAAAACTATTATTTAATTAGCAGAATAGTATGTGATACATTAGTCAAGAAAACTTACCTTTCTGGTGGGGGTTTAACCAAATGCTTTTTGAACGAGGATGGTTGCCTTGATCGTAAAACTCCCATTGCAGCCAAACGCATAAGCGAACGCCTCTCTACACTATCTTCAGTGTTGCGGCAACCCTGACAGCGACATAGATCAGAGCAGCTAATCTTTGCTTCATAACATTCGCAATAATTCTTTAAACACCCCGAGCGCTTACAATTACATCCCTTGGTATGTTTTCTTTCACCTTCACCACGACCAATTTTCGGGTGGAATGCTGTAGGGTTTCGTTCCAAAGTCATTTTAATGGCCCTTCCACGTTCTTCTTCATAAGCCAGGTTGTTCATACAGTTATTGCAGTTACAATTTTGGCAAAGTTGTCCCTGTGCAAAGCACTCACAGTACAGCTTTAGACAGTGTGACTTCGTGCAATTGCAAGGTTTGCGCGAATTTGTTAGACTTGAAAGAACACTTGTACCGCCAAACACACCTACTTGTCCGGACCCTCCTGTAGGTCCACCAGGGATGGAGGAAATCATACTGGGATTTAAATTCATGATCGGGTTTACAAATGGCGTAAACGTCTGGTTCATGGGAGTAGCAACAAAAGTACCAGCTGCACCTAGAACTAAAAGTAAGAAACAATCGATGTTAGTAGGATTTGTAGACAATATCAATAAGTGATCATATCCAAACAGCTTTTTTTATTTTGATCGGGTTGATGGCATTCAAATAACTTACGTATTTTTTCACCTGGGAGTTGGAAACTGCAAATCGCTGACGAATCTTTCAGTTTCACATAGGCTTGAAATTATTCAAAGAAAACCCACGGTCTAACTACTGGAAATATAGGCTGAATGCTTAGAATGTGCATACTAAGAAAAGCTGATTCATTTCACATGATGGGGTTGGTGAGTAAACATACGAGAACTGTATTTGTCTCAAACAATTAAAGAATACTACTTAAAAAGTTAACTTTGAAGCAGAACGATTAAATATGCAACAGATAGTCGTGTTAAGTTTTGAGAATCACGAGTGTATTGCGAAAATGTATGTTTTTCAGTTACGTATTTCACTAAGTTACAAGTTCACCCAGCGGGAATCTACGAGTACATATAAGAAACAAGCAACCAGCATCTTAAGCTAAATCAATATTAAACTCAATCTTCTCTCGGATTTCAGAAGCGCGGGATTACCAGCAACTTCTCTACGACACATTGGCAAGTGAAACAGCACAGGCTGCTGGTGGTATAGACCTGACAACATTATACCAAATAACCAAGTTACTATCTGGGAAGAGGTCAACGCAGACGAAACCAATAAAAGATGGTGAAGGAAACCTAGTTACCAAAGAGGAGAAACAAAGGAAAAGATGGGCTGACCACTTCAGAAAACTCTTGAATCGACCACCAAAACCACCACCACCTGCAACTCGTCCAAAAATACCAAATGTTACGACAGGCTGGGTTCATGAAGTACAAATCATGTGGGGATCAAATCGCAACGCTATGCATCATCTCATAGAACATAGCATAGAATGACAGTCAACTCTTCACCTCAACTACATCGATTTTGAAAGGCCTTCGACAGCGTCGACCGAGAAGTAATTTGGCAAGCAACTGCTTCAACACTACGGAGTACCACAAACCTTTATCAACCTCATTCAACAACAGCTACATGACGACGTCACATGCCAAGTGATTCACAATGGAAAGCCCAGTGACGCCTCTGAAGTGAAGACAGAAGTAAGACGAGGTTGCCGCCTACTATTACCCATGATCTTCCTGATTGTGGTCGACTGGGTCATGCAACAAATTGTGAGGAGCGAGAAGATAGGCATACGCTGGCAGGACCGATGTAAAGACCGTAGAAGATTTGGATTTTGCCGATGATTTATTTCTGTCTTGTCGCACAAACTCGAAGATCCACAGGCAAAAACCAACAAGTTGACAGAAGCAGGGCAGCGAGGACGGGACTTCAAGTGAATGTAGAGAAGACAGAGGTGATGAAGATACCCAACCAACAACAACAGCAACAACAAGCACCGATCACCATCAACGGAAGAAACCTAAAAGAAGTAGCTTCTTTCACCTACCTAGGCAGCATCGTTTCAGTGCGGAGATCTACTGCGCTCCACTCAGCATAAAGCGTGAACAAGATCCGGATTTTTTCAACCCTAAGTCAGTCAAACCAGTGCTTCTATATAGTTCAGAAACTTGGCGCGTTACGAAAAGCATTTCCAACAAACTACAGACATTCATCAACAGCTGCGTACGCTCACGCGATACTGAAGATCAGATGACCAGAATAATAAGAATAAGCAACAAGGAACTCTGGGTTGGCGGGCTGACAACGAACCAATCAAGAACCCATCGCTCAACAAATATACAGAAGAAAGTGGAGATGGATTAGGCATACACTGAGAAAACCATCCGGAGATGTCACGTGCCACGCCCTCGAGTATAACCAAAGGGACAAATCATAATTAATAATAATCTCTACATTTATTATTTGACTGCTCAATCTACTGCAAGTTCTAGTCAACCAACTATGAAGAAATTGCCTTATAGAACAGGAAATCGGTTATCTAAGCACCCAACAATAAAATAATTTACTTCCGTAATGCTGCCATTTTGCTTTTCTTTCACGATCTAATATGCTCATTTTTTTTATCCATGATCGATACGTGACGATATGTCTTAAATCTGTATGCGACGGGGGCGAAATCTGGTTTGCTGTTACGATCAAAATCATTGTTTCCCCTGATCTCTTTCTTCATTCCGTGATCAAATATAGGACGATTAGTTAAGTATTTGAATTTAGCCGCCTGTTTTAATTTGAGCACCTCAGCGGTATCAGGACCGCAATCAACCCAATTAACTTCGGAAAAAAGATTATTCCTTAGAAAACATATTGCGTCATCATCAGTATCAACATACCACCAGGCATTACTGTTTAACGGTCCGAGTTGCCACACCTCATATCAGTACATCACGTACAAAGGTAGTGAGGTGAAGGATGAAGATAAGAAAATGCAGTCAAAAGAAATATAAATTACGAAAAGATAGAAAGGAAGAATGAGATGGTGAGATTCGGTATGGCGTCGTTTAGATGAGGATAATGTGTGTATACATCTGCTCCACTGACATCGGTTCTGGGCCATATCACCTAGAGTTTCCAACCACTGGCTTCGCTTCTCCCGCGGACTCCAACCACCCAGTCTGCATCGCCCTCCATACACGGCTCAAACCAACAATCAGAGACTTCATACATTAATGACATGTTTTAGTCTGGCCGCCTCGAGCCATTTTTCAGCCTGGACCTACTTCGGCCAACATTGTGTGACGAGGCCATCGGCGACTAGACATACGTAACACGTGTCCCAACCATCTCAGTCGATGAAGGTTCATAACCTCGTCAACTGATTTACCTCTACTCCCTAAAACTCTACTCCTGACTTCTGCGTTACTCACGTGGTGACACCATGGAATACGGCTTATACTACGAAGGCAACGGTGGTCAAACACTTCTCATGTCTTCCACCTTCAATGGCCATGTTTCACAGCCATACAGTAGGACAGACCGAACTGCAGTGCAGCATACGCGACCCTTAATAGACAATCGGATATCACGGTGGCGCCATAGGTGGCAAAAGTTGGCGAAAGCCAGTCGAGCCTTTTGTATCCGTGCAGCGATTTCATCGGCTTATTTTATGACAAGTAGTATTACGTTATATTACTTTGCTTTGTTCCTTTATCTACAATTAGATTTAAGAAACTGCACTATTAGTCGGGCAGTACTAGAGGGAGCTGCTTTTGTTTTTATGCCGCTTGAAGGCTATCTATAAAGTATTCCAAAAAGCTAACTAAGATGTACTTACGATGTGAAATTTAGGTCCAACAACTCTTACTGCCAGAAGGATGGAGCTGCAATGAAGTTTTAACCAAGCCCACCTGTAGATATCTCTAAGCTGGAAACAGCTGTACTAGATTCAATGGTTAAACAGTCAGAAATACACGCAACATATACTGACAAATTCATCATGTGACAATGATGTTATTCCTTAATTACCTTAATGATCCGAAATGTACTACATTTGACTATTCCATTCCTTGACACATTACTAACGGAGAATAGATCTTTTTTGAGCTCATTTGTCGAAAACCTACGTTGATTGAAAGATCAGCTACTTTCCACAGCTGGAAGAGAAGCTTAGTCCATCCCCTATCTTTTCGAATCCGAAAATTGCAAATCCAGCACACTGGAAGAACTAGTTTCTGAGGTACATATTCATCAAAAATGGATATCCAGAAAATCTGTTGACAGTAAAACAATACACACCAGAAACCGTTAGTGAAACACGAAACTACTTCTGAATTTGACCTTCAACAGTGAAAGGAATATCCTGAAACACGTTTAGCCTAACATCTTGTCACATCGAATCACTTGTATTAGCCATCCAATAGTCAACATTGGTATGGCTATTGCTGGGTGTTTCACTATGTATGTATCACTTCATCTGCTTTTGTGGAGCTAGGTATATAGGTTGTACGCATAAGCAACATGTCTGCCATTAATGAGAACATCTTACACAAAACGTCCTATCCCACAACACCCAATGGGAACAGTGAACCCGATCTCCAGAGATTCGTTTCGTTTAGTTTACGTGATTATCATTTTGACCATCTGCGAAAGCCGTGGTTTGGCAGACTAGTATTTATACTGGTCCGAATTTTCATTTTACCTTCACCCAGTATAAAAATCTCTTATACAGTGCTGAAGCTCTAGCAGCATGAGAGTGAATACAGTAGCTAAACTAACAAAAGTTTTTAACATAAAAACTACGATCTACTTTTTTAAATGAGAAGGGAGCACATATACGACGTAGAGTAATTACACTTATTCACAGGCACGAGTCAGTCCTAACAAATACCAAATAAAGAATCGCGTATTGAGTCATTGAACCCTGTTACGCCATAGATTTATAAAACCAGAGACTATAGGAAACAAAGAAGTTGAACTTCGCCATGCTAAGTGTCACGAGCGCAAATTCTCTGGACCGAAGAGTAAAAGAGATGGATTTTCTCTTTTACAGCTGATGACAACCCAGCTGCTAAACTTTGTAAACTGTCCATCTCATGTAGGTTTCCGAAAAATGGATTTTTTTTTAGTGGACCATTTATCGAGTAACGATAATTTCGAGTATAATTCCATCTCATTCAGAGTGAAAGCCGTTATTCTATATCCAGCACCCCCTGATAACCAAGAATGCATACCACAACAGTATACGCGTAATAATCACAGCTTATTAATGACTGCTGGAAAACAAAAAAACTAGCGTACCGATTACAAAACCAAATGTAGAAGCGAGGTAGGAAACTAAATCAACACAGAACCTCAAAACACCATCGACTTAAGCCGCCACGCTTCACAGTAGCATGCAGAGAACAACTGGAAAGAGGAAAGGCGATATCAAATTGGATAAAAACGTATAGGAGAGGGAATTTGGAAATAAGTAGTGCAAATACTCAAGCTTTAGAAGAGTGAATATACCTTCGTTATTGTGACCAATTTTCAAGCATGTCACAGAGGATCGCCAGCCATCAACTCCTACTATCACGAGGACTTCAGTTACGCAGTCTGACTCCCCCTCCCCCTAAAAGACTCAGATCAACAGCTAGAAACTCGATACACTAGTGTCATGTCTTGATCTGACCACTGACTTTTTCCAATTTATTCCTTCTAGGGCTAAAATTGCATTTCGAGGCTAATAGTGGCTCGAACATGTTGCGTATGCCAAGACGCTGTACGTTACCGACTTCATCAACTGACCCCACATTCTCATCTAGTGCCTTCTGCCTGGACATTGTTCAAAGTGCATGCACCACAACTGAGCAATGTAAAGAAGATACCTGTGGTAAAGTCTGTCTTTAAATCTATTTAAACGGTCACGTCTCACAACCATACGATAAGAAAGAGCGAACTGCTACACAGTATACTCGTCTTTCGTTGCATGTTGCTGGTTATTTCTGTTTAGTCAGATAGTGGGGTTACCAGGACACATGAATAATTCTAGTCCGTGATTAAATCACTGATCTGCCCATCCGATGAAGTTGCGATCATAAAACTGGATTAGCAAGACAACCAGACTATTTGACTTATAGGTGGTATGACTCAACAGTAATTACATAATCTTACCGACCAAATATCGACACAATCGTGTCAATATGCTAGAAATTGATACCAATAATCCACTTATGTGCGAGACTATCAACCTGAAATCCATTTATTCCCAGATGAGTCCCATGAATTTATCACATGGTTGTAGCATCAACCGCCAAACACTGAAGTGACACCATTTTCATGTGAACCACATCACCAACACAATTTCTCTCCTGGTTTAAGCACAAATTCCGGAGTAAGTAAACAAACGTTCTACCAATAGGTGCAATCCGTTCATACCTCTCTGCTAACGAAAATAGAAAATGTATTCAAAACTCGTATTTAGTGTGGTTCCAGGTCTAAGCTTCGCGATACTTATGCCAATCTGAGAAAACAAGAAGTATCATATACACACAGCTCGTATAACTCATAGTTTATTAATGTAAACCTGTACCGAGTTAAGCTGCATAATTATTCCCATTAACAGGAAACACTGCTTCTTCAAAGCTGCATAACGGTTGCACCAAGTACAAACTCAAAATCGGGTGCAATAACAAGAATAACAGCATTTTGCAATGTGAAGCATTATTGATCACTTACCTGATATCTCCGCAGGTTTCCTAACATATTGCACTGCTGTATTGGTGTTTATGGCCATTCCAGGTACTGAAGAAACTAACGGGCGAATTGCGTTCAAGGGATTCAAATTCTGCGACCTCTGTTGCATGATAGACTGGGCTTCTGAACACGGCTGACCTTGAAGAACCTGTACTAGTCCCGAGCCAAGGAAATTTTGCTTTGCCGGAAGTGTAAGTCTTACACTGACAGGAGGTTGCGTCATAGAACTGAAGAGTAGCAGTGAAATGCATTGTAGGGAGATTGGTAAGTTTACACAGATGATCCAATAGCATTGGAAATCAAGACAATAGAATACGTTAAGATATCATTAAAATTTTCTTATGACCGCTAATGGGCAACTTAAAATAGCCGCGTGAACTCACAATTTGAATGTGGTTGCAGATCCGTACGATTCAAAATCAGATGGCGAGAGAGTTGCAGCCATTCAAACAAATGCACATCCGTATCTCTAAAACAAAGTTGAGATGCTGAGGAGATGTTTGCGAATGTACTGTTGATGACGGTGTGATTTTAAAGTAAACTTTTGATTGGATCCATTTGTTTGCAGGGAGCATAATAATATAAAACTTAGCATGCATTGTGACATCCACCAAAGGAGAAATGTATTTAGTATTTATGGAGAGAATTTTGCAAAAAGACATTTAAGAAGTCTGTTGATTTCTAAACTAACTAAGTAAACCACTAAGAAAACCCCAGTTTATTCACTTTCAACCACCTCTCACCTATATGGTTTCATGCGGTTAATAAATCAATGTTTTGATCCAGCTTTCACTTGGATTTTCGTTCACTTCTTATTGTCAGTCGCAGATTCCCAATCCTAAACGAGACACCTGACAGATATCTCCATCCAGTGAAATACATCCTACGTTTGGTTACCTACCGTCTGATCCATTTTCGTTTGTAAGTGTAAAATATGTCGAATCACTCACATCGTTTTAGAGGATGCATGGTTGTAGAATCATATAACTATTGTTTCAGTGATCTAACAGCCTCAAATTATCGGTTTTTATCTAAAGCACGATGTGTATTGTCATCAGTGCTGTGCCAAACCTTTGGGCTTGGTGAGACATGTCAGCTTTTGTTACTGGCATAAGCTAAGCCACTGCTTGCAGCAGTTAGCGAATTCACGCTTATAGACGGCAGTGTATTACAATATCTTCTCGCCAGAGCCTATGCATGATTCAGGAAGCCTCTGTGTGCGACACTTAAATGCAGCACCTACAGGAAAACTAATGCACGTCTAAAGGTCGTAACTTATAATTTTAATTTTTTTGGCTGGAAAACGCAATGCGACAATTCATGTCAGTGGTGATCTTTGTCACTGGTATATGCCTGCACACGCCTACTGAATATGTTTTAGGGTTTTAATTTGGAGACAAGCTGACAAAAAAAGCCTCACGAATATTGGCTTTGAAAAGTTTGTATTTTCGGAAGGAAAGTAACTGAAGAAGTTTAGGAAATAAGTTTGGATTGCAGTAAAATAAAAAAGCGATAGCAAGCTTGCTTTCAAGGGTGGCACGTGCCAAAATGTTTCAGCTGTAAGCTAGTCCCCTTCACTACCATCTACCACCTGTTGAATAAGCGTCATGTCTTTCAGGCCAACCACTGGTGTTGGTCAAGCAAGCATTGGGAGATTTACCACCAGTGATCCAGCATGTAACTGAAAGGGTACGGTGATGCAAATAAATGCCGCAGAAAAGCCGCGGTAGATAAACTCTTTTCCATCAGGCGACTCTTACTATCGCTACTTATCACCCCGTTCCGGCCTGTCAAGTAGAAAACGTCTATCTTTGTTTACTGGGATGATGGAGGAAGAGTCTTCAAACGAGTGCGATTCTAAGGTGGATTTCGATGTCTTTAGTGTCGCAAAAACTCTGCAAACACTCTCCGTCTTCTAGAATTTCTTGTAGATAGACTCATTACCGCTTCTCGCATACCCATCTTATTGGTGTCGTTTCAAACTCAGGAGCTCAAGAGTGAACGCAGACCACCGCAGATCGTTCCTGAAACCTTCAAGATGAAAGTGAAATGAACCGCCCCTAGAATTCGTACTTTTTTCACTCGTGTATACCCAGTCAGTATTTGCATCCTGCCGAATTCGTCCCACTTCCCGATAGGAATTGTTTCTGAAATCAAGTACACACCATAGCTCAATGCTAAACAGGGTTAGGGATAACAAAATGTGGACCATTTTTTCCAGATAGCAGTTACTACTATCATTCACTGTGCCAAAAGTCGGTTGGCAGGAGGGAAGACTTAGATCAGTACTTATCGGAACAATGCTATTCAATGAAAAGCGCATCATAAAAGGCTGGAGATATTTGTCTGGTAAGTAGCAATTATGAAACGCTTTGGTAGGTGTCAGTAGCTGAAGAAAAATGTCAATATTACAGTGTGACATACGATGAGTAGAGAGTACGTTGCGAAATGATGAACCATATTTCGAAACGAAAAATGCTAGACTTCGGCACGAAAGATTATCGGGCTTTCGAAATGGGTTCACACAAGCTGATTCTACAAGTGATGCTGGCTTACCGTCTTATAATTTTACAGCGATTGCACCAAAAATAGGGTAGCTGGTTCCAACTACTTCACAGAAGACTGGTGACGTCGAAAGTTTAAGAGGCGGGTAGCTCAACGCTACGTGATGTCGCTGGGGAAGTGACTGAAATGCAGTTCGCAACTCATATTTAATGCAATGGTTGCGCGACCGAGTTCAAGCAGGAACACAAACAGGGATGGTTTATAATGTCACTGGTTTACGTGCATGTGCTGGAAGCGAAAAACAATTAGCTCTGAGAGATCAATGCACCCGGTGACTCCAAAGGCAACATATTCGTGACAAACTCACCCAACAGATTTCTTTAGAAATTTATCTCAGTAGACTATCTGGTAAAAGAAAGCCAGCAGCCGACACACCCCTTCGATAATACTTCACACTTAATAACTATTACGATGGTGGTATATTTCAAACAGTGAATGAGACAAATGCATGCCATTTTTACAGGTAACACCACAATGTTATTTTTCTCAGCGAAGCTGAAAGCTTCAGACAGGAGAAGTCACTACGCCCTACAAACCCCTCTGGATTGAGTAGTTGTTTGGATATTGCTTCCCACAAATGCCGGGTAGAAACCATACCTTTAAACAGCAGCCGTGAAAACTAGTAAGTGTATGATCACACAGTATAAGCGGTATACTGGCAATACTGAGTCTTACAGTCTGTGAGTATATTGCGTAGCGTGTTGAGCACAAATGAAGCTGGAAATATGTGAACATTCAATAAATTTGTACTTTCCATAGGCAGCATGTGAAACTACAGTTAAATAACGAAGCGGACCCGGGGGAATTTGGGCGTAGTATTGTGTGTTGTCATGCTGGATGTGGCTATTCTTTAGGTCCATGATGTTGTAACCAGAGCCACTTGAACAAACGGAGCCAAAGGTGCAAATATTTAAAGCCACTGTCACCATACTTATATCTTCTTCTGACAAAGGGTGCGGGTGGAGATTACCTTCCATGAAGATGCATGTAATTTATATATAAACTTATTCATACCTATAAAAATGGTGTGTGCCTGAATATTCAGGAGTAAATTTTGTTGTTATTATACTGCGGTGAAGAATATACGCGGTTCCATCATTAAACCACTCAATAAGATTTCAAGCTGGCGCTTCGTATGTGAAAACTTTCGGTTAGCTCTGTTTCCAGGTGAGTGAGTGATAAGACTGGGAGGGCTTGCATGTACGGATGCAAACAACATTTATCGCCAACATTTTCAGATGCAACTCCCACTGGAGCCATGAGTTGTCTTCTGGTTTTTTGCTTCCGTAAGTGGCAAAAGATGATAGTTCGCTCATGAAGAATGGGATTTTGGTGCTGAGTGTGCATTGGTATATGAAGTTGACATCAAAGTCCACAACCAGTAGATGATGCTATTTCCAATGTTAATTTCTTTGGACCGAAACGGCTGATTCTATTGGCTTAAATCTATAGTGTTGTGTGCTGTAACACGGGGAGTGTGGAGGGCTTGAACTTAAATATTCACGTGGGCTACACGATTAAGTAGACACTCACTGGTTTCTGAAGTCGTTTAGGTGAGTTTGGCTGGTTAAGCCACGAACATAAGAAACGGACGTCTATCTGATGAAATGTTGAACTGTATGGACGTGTCAAACTTGTCGGCCACTTGCAACACAGACATCGAAGATTGCTGGAACTTTGTATCACCTCAGTGTGAAAAAATAATGGTGAATGGAAACTATCTATACTCATAAGCATTATATGTGTACTACGAAGTGATATTTTCCTGTTCTTTTCATAACTTATGGAAGCTGTTGATATTATGGTGGAGTTTATTGTCCCCCTTCTGTACCATTCAGGACGGATCAAGTGTTGTGAATTTCTCCGCCATTATCAACTTGATGTCTGCTAACCGGGTTCTCTCATGTTAAATCCATAATTTGAGGATAAAATATTTATTTATTTATGATGAACATCATTTAGGGTCTCGCACCTAATGCAGTGACAAACACCAACCACCCAACTTTGTGCAGTGAGTTAAAAGTAGACATCGACTATACGTAGAGACGTGTTTTGGAGCAATACTTAGGAATTTTCTTACACACCAGTCCTCGCTTAAGCGTAGCTTCAACCAAAACGCTTTGCATATTGCAGCCTCTCGGGACGTTTCGGGTTCACAGAACCGACGCGGCGTAGACATATGTTGCGAAAAAGGAACACCTACATCACAAACCAAGGGCGTTTCTGCAGAGGTCACCAGCCTTGGTTACAGTATCACCTTAGAATTTGGATCCAAAATTTTCAAGTATTCATACTGCGCATGTCAGGTATGTGACACTCATGGTTCTGCTAAATGGGCCGCCGATGTATGAGATGATGTTTCAGGTGCCTTCGACCAAATCCGACGTTGACAGTGTTAAGGAACAAAACTGAGTACAATTCTCAGGTGGTAAAGTACGAAATGCAGTGAAACTGTGACAGCAGGCTTCTTTCAATAGCCCAGTTTCACGTCAAAATGAACGATTACATTTGAATCTTCCACAAGTTCACTAGCATGTGTGTAGATTCACCTCAACTCCATTTTCATTGTTCACCAAGAAAACATAATTGTACGTTTCACAACCTAATGGTGTTCCTTTTTGAAACCCTGAGTAGCTTAACGAGTTGCTGAAGACACGAAGTGGCTTAGTAGGGGAAGTGAGCGTTTAAAGCGGTCGTATTTGCAAAATTTTGTCTTAACTATATCAGTTTCTGTATTTTTTGCAAATATTCTCGCATTTTGTGTATATACCTTTAGCATGTTCCTACGTAAAGCATGCGGTTTTCATAAAAACCCCTTCTACTGCCTTAAAAAACTT